TATATATATATCTATGATGTAGAAAGTGTGTGCTCCGTGGCCTTCAGTCTTTGCCTAATCTCCCTCCTCACTCTATACTCAGTCGGTCACGTTGTATAAGAGAAAGATACTTCAGTGTGTAACAGATTAGACTGGTGTGTGAGGAATTTGTTTCTGATCTCAGTTGTTCAGTGTATGAAACTCAGTTATTACCGTGGTGCCACCTGCACCCGAGTAACCTGGTAAACTGTCACAAACTTCTATTTATATGAACCACTCGGATTTGATTGACGTCAGCTTTGTGTTGAAATCGGTTGGTTTTATTTTTCCCTCGTCCTGGATTCCCCCTCAGATGACTTTGTTGTAGCGATGAGAATCCTCAAGCTTGAGTTATTTAAGGCTTTTTGTAACTCGTGCCTGTCACAGTAATTTGCCTTCAAGTGCTTTTGGGGGAAAAAAAAGTTATTTCTATGTGTACTTTGTAATGTTTTGTAAGGCTGTTTTAGATTTTTGGCGGAGGATTATTTTTTATTGAACTAGATTCGGTTCCTCTTACAAGCATACTGAACCCTTATTTTTGTGTATTTTTAAACCTGTTCTTGACTACACTTTAATTAGCCTAAGGACAGATGATGGTCTGTAATAAACTGCATAGTTCAGCTGTATTTTGTACTTGGTCACAATGTGTAATAAATTGGTGTAAACCAAAAAGGTTTGAGCACATTTATTTTTATCAAATATTAACATCACAAAACCTCTCTCTGGAACAAACAGCGGGTTTACATACAAAGTTGTTTTAACATTTTGTAGAAGATCATTGTTCACAAATGATTCTTTAGGATGCTCTAGAGATACAGTATTCACATAATTTAAAAATCCTAGTCTCCATGGTGACTCAGCTCCAGACAGAAATATTCTTAACTTTAGTGTCACACACTTTCCTCTAACTTTAGATCATTCTGACATCTGGCTCACTTGCAGTCTCATAACCACAAAGGCACAAAGACCATTAAGTGAACAGTGAGATTGTAGAGAAAAAAAAAAAAGCCTTTTCCTCCTGGAAAAGGCAGAATGACTGACTGTACAACAACTTAAATTAGAGGAAAAGAAGAAAAAAAGGCTTGGTCCCAAAATAGCAGGACCCTGTCAGAAGTAAGTGCACACCAAGTCTGAGTGAAGGGACCTTGTCTCCGGGTTTCTTACCACAAGTCATTTTCCTGTGCTGCCTGGCCCTCGACTCAGACGCTGAAAAAGTGCCAAGTCCTGTGACATTCCAGTGATGGTCCATTTAGAAATTTGCGTCCTTTTCACATTCTTCACAAGGAGCAGCCTGCCATGTACTTCCCTGTTAAAGGAAGAAAGAAGAAAGCAGCTTCAGAAAAAAACAGTCATGTGAGTATGCTACAGCATCTGCCCCATGCAGTGGACTCAACATTCCTGAAAGGTTCTCATTTTGGGGAAACACTCGTTCACTTTCTGGCTGAGACATAGTTAAAACATGTTAATGTGGCTTTCAGGGTGCTGTCAGGTGGGCTTGTTACCTTTGGACAGAGCCAGGCAGGCTAGTTGTTTCCCTCCATTTCCAGCAGTTTGTTGGTTGGGTCTGAAAATGACAGAAATTTGAGGGTGCGACATCGGAAACGAGTGACCTTAGTAAACCCGCATTCTGCTCCTCATCTGTGCTTGAGGCTACAGTAGCTGCTACCAGCATAACACACCTAGCAGAACCGGCAGTAGTAAAGTTGCATTGTGGGTAATCTATGTGCAAGGTTTTGACAAGGTTGAAGCATGCATGGAATACAGAAGAGATCTCTGGTTCTGCTGCACTGATTTTAAAGTGGGGATCTTTTTTTTTTTAAGATACTTTATGCTTATATAAATTGTTGTTTTGACCTCCGTTGTGGGGGAAACGGTTTACTGGAGCTTTAAACCAGCTGTAGCTCTGTCCTTGTCCTATATTTTCTGCATTTTGACTTGGGTTTTACTGTCACTAGTACAATCAAACCGAACTATTTCTAATTTAATAGTCCCTCTCTCCCTCCCTCGACTACTAGACACATCCTTTTCTGATGAGATGAGCGACCTGGGCAGCGATGCGGATGCATCCAGGGGCCCCACGGAGCCAGCTGTAAAGAGAGAGAGGATCGAAATGAGCCACCCTCTACAGGAGATATGAGTCCAGTCCAAACGCCATGAGGACCAGCATCACTCTCTATACAAGGTGACTCTAAAGTGGCTTTTGGAGCCTTTTGGGACACAGTGGCTTTCAGCTCAAGTGTTCTTCTGCAGTCAGTGTGTGCAATGTATATAGACGAGTAGCAATGTCAGTCCTCCCCACGCTAGCATTTGTAAAGACAGTGACCTTTGGCTTGGGCCGCTCACATCTTATTTTTTACTCATACGTCTGATATTTTTTCGATTTTTGTTGCAACTGTGAATACCTTTTGTGGATGTGCAACTTTGAGTGGTGGTGTGTGGTGATTGTGATTCTTTTTTTTCCAATTTAAACTAACTGTGCCATAGTGTCATTTGAGTGCCTTAGATTGCTAACTTTGGAACCACCACTACAGATGTCTATCTGTCCTCAGCTGTGCCTCTACTGCAGTATGAATGTATTGTCTCCAAACCTCAGACATTCAAAGCACCTTTAACATTGATTAGGTGTAGGTGTGTACTCCTTGTTGCCTCCGCTGCAGCTTGCAGCAAGCACGTGGGGGAAAAAAAACAAAAAAAACAATGAACATGCAACCTTGTTGACCCAAAGGACCTTTCCCTCAGTTGTTCCCACCAGCTCAGCCATACGTGGCTGTCAGGCCTCATAGTCTCATAGTAGTCAGGAATACAGGGAACAGTCTCTTACCCGTCTAACATGTTGGTGTGTTTACCTCAATAGATTTCTATGCTGTGCTCTGTTCACCTCAGATGACATGAGGCAAGTATTAAAAAAAAAAAATGTAGCCACTGTTGCAGTTTGCGTCCCACTCCGATTTCCTTTAATGTAAATAGTTCCTTCAAATGGTTTCGGTCCAGTGATAGATCCTCCATGTGCTGCTTGGATACATTACAATTCCTAAATCAGTGACTCACGTAGACCTCTAGTGGTTTACTAACCTGCCACAGAATAATCAGCTTAATGGAGATGGGATGTTTAAACCTAAACTTGAATCTGGTCTGCCTCATTGAGCCTCATTTAAAAAAAAAAAAAAGCAGTCATACATTTCATCTAAGGAAATAAATCATTTCTGTCAAGTCAGAGCATTGGACCTGTAAAACAAAAACCCCAACATGAGAGGAGAATCGGCGCACGCTCCAGGACTGCAGCTACTTTGACCTCGCTCTGTTACTCAGATATAGTCTTATGTTCTGTTTGAATTAGAAAAATGCAGTGAGTTATTT